TCATCGACAATAGACGCTCTTGCAAGTGAAATGAGTGAGAAAAACACAATATGACGGAAAAGAGAATTCGTAAATGTCTGTTTAGCGCGGTAGCGTTTAATCTCCATTTCAAATTTGAGAGGTTTTTAAAAGTAAAACGATGAATCTGATAAAACTGGAAGTTGCCAATCGCAGATTGAAGTTTATCGTTTAGACCTCATTGCATGCATATTTATAGACGCTTGTTCTCGCAATTATTTTGTTAGTTATTAGACTAATTTCGTATCAACAAACGTTGAACGTATGCGTTTTGCAGATCATTAATTGAAACATCACATGCAACGTCCTGCAGGACGTTGCATTCGACTTAGTCTTAGTGAAAAATGACAAAGCTAGCTAATTATTTGCCAGGAATTATGCGAGGCAATACACTCGCTTGAATGTTGGATTTACATTATAGTATCGTATTTGTTATAAAATCCCGTTGAAAGTTTGTTAATAACGCAAATAGTTGTGGAGTTATTGAGTTTTGAACATTTCCTTCGTAATGCTCAACTTGTTCATTTTCAGTTGAATAAATTAGGGTATAAGCAACCTCAAACGTTTACTTTACATAACCAAATTTTAAGGAATATACAACGACCGAAGCATAGTTTGACGTAGGAATTCTAATTCTCCCAACTAATACTGTTGATGTCATCCGACCAAAATTCCGGTAAAAACGGTTTGCCGGCCGTAGATGAAATTTACACCTAGAAATTGAAAATTTACACTATTGTAAGTAATTGGTATACTTGAATTGTAGTAAGGATTTCTATCATATTACTGATGCTGTTGATTTTCTTTTTTACAGTTGATCGTATTGTTTTAACTAAATATCTGTACATGAAAGTTCAATACGGAATTTGAAGAGTCATAACTATTAACCAAGATGAGACACATCCTCCGCAAAAACCAACCAAAAAGACTGTGGTAGAATTATGCATGTGTTTGAGCTAATTGCATACTTCATAGTACAAATATCTATAAGAATTCGCAATCATAGTGATGGCAAGTATTTACACGGCGGCATCGCCCCCTGCGATCAAAGGGTGTATTGTTCTTAGAAAATTTTAACAAGCAGGGAAAAATAATGATTATATGATAGTCGGTGAGCAACGTGTTGTGAAAAAAGTCTACCACAGTCTGCCAGTGCTAGACATAGCAACACTTTAATACTTTGATTATTCAGAATGCAAACACGACTAAAAATAGCTGAACTTTTGCAGGTTAATTTCATAATGTGAAACAGTATTAAATTAAGTTCTGGTACGCTAATAAAGTATTACACTGTGTTCTTAACAGAGACGGTACATGCAGTATAGTGATTTGTTGACGGTATACAAAAAAACGCGAAATGCTGTCGATATAATCGATAAAAATTTTGCAAGGCCGGCAGTTATCGATTTGACTAGAACAAAGAAAATTTCCGATCCTTTTCATAGAATATAATTCAAGTTCGCAAGACATCTTTTGTAACTGTAACTTCTTTCTTTTATCTCACAACATATAGCTCCCATTGGCTCTGCCACGCTCCTATGCTTTTTATATTATACCTGTGTCACTGTGAAACGTATCAAATCAATACGAATACTAACAATGCCTCAATTTAAATTTTGATTACATTTACCATCTTCCAATGATTCACATCAAGTAAAAAGCTGCTGGATCAGAAAGATGGTCACCAATCTCAATGACAGAGTGAGTGTGACCAACATTGAAAATTGGCAGTGAGGAGGCTTTCTGACGAATCAATCATATAACCAGTCACTTATATCTTTGCCAGCATAAACGAATTGATCAAAGAGTCAATAAAATGACTTGGCTTTTCTTGCTAGGGAAACTGCTAAAAACAGGTAGACTAATTATTTGAGAAAACAACGTATTAATATATCCAAGTCGTGATTTAAGTGAAGTGTTTAGAGACTTATAATTTTTTAGAATGAATATCCTGATTTGGATGTCGACAATCCAAGTGAACGTTGGTATGATTTACCCACATAATTTATAACTATAGTCCTTCTGATCAAGACTTTGTAGAAGAGCATCAGTCTAGACACGAAGCTGAAAATTAAATCAAGAACCATAACTTGTTTCGCTCCTTAATTTTTGGTCTAATTCAGCTCGCAAGGCCATTTCTTCTGTGCCAGTTAGTGACACCGTTATAGCCTAGATTGTATCCATAACGCATTATGCATCTCTTGCGAGTTCTTAACGATTTATACGGAGCAGACATCATCATTGTCATCATCGCCATTATCGGCTTATTAACATATATAACGAAGGTTTATTAATTAAAAATCTAATGCTAAGTATTCATCCTCATCGCTTACCCACTTCATCATATACACCACCATTTACTTCCCGATCCATTCAGTACCTTACCCAACTAGCCGGTAACACTCTACCATACAGTTGCAAATATTGTACTCTTTGCGGAATCCTAAACTGATCTCTTCCAAACCTCCCACCAATCCAGTACATCCCTCCTAACAAAACACCTGTAGTAACACCGATAACCCCATGCCTAATATTCCTTTGTTTCCGTTTCTCCTTTTCAGTCAATGCAACGGGCGGCGGCTTCTCTCCATTCTTCGTCTTGCTCGCTGCTCCCAATAACGCACGCGTTGCTGCAGGAATACCGCTTACCACATGATAAACCCCAAAACAAATAAGCGCAGTC